GCTTCCTCCAGCTGTCAGATTTGAGAAGCTGTGCAATTCTTATGCCCTCAGGACTCTGAAGTTCCATAAGAACCATCCAGTCAAGAGAGTGCTCTGGGAAGAGCTTGGAAGAGATGACTTAGATGCAACCCTAGACTCTGACTCAGAAATAGGCAATACGTCAATCAAACATATCACAAGACCAAACACTTAGCTCCTGTCCTTATTGAAGAGAACTTAGGAGTTTATCACCAACTGAAAGATAGAAAAGATTTCTGTACATAATGCTCTACCTTGGAGGCCAAAGTTAAAAGCATTATTTATCATCTCCAGCAAGGACAAGGAAAAAGCATCAAAGCAACATGATAGACTAATTAGAGACCTAGAATCAGGCATGACGGATGGTTTAGTCAGCGTTTACTACGCTGATGGGTCTAAAGAAGGCAATAGAAATGCTGCAGGAGCATGCCAGATAGGAAACAATCAACGCATTTTATTTGCCAGTAACTGGAACTTAGGGGATAGCGTTAAGATTATGGATGCAGAACTATTTACGATCCTCAAAGCACTTAAAAGAGAAAAGACCCAACGTGAGAAAGGACAATTCATTGCCGAAAACCTACGGGTTTTTGTGGACAGCCAGGCAGCACTCAAGAGGCTACAAAAGAACAGCCTTGATGGAGGACAAGAATTAAATATGTTGATAACAGACCTATGCAATACTCTTACCAATGAATGGGAAATGAAAATTACCTTTAGCTGGGTTCCTAGCTATAAGAATATTTTTGGGAATGATATAATAGATAAGCTGGCTAAAAAAGGACTAAGCCGTAAGCCTATAGGCACTTCATTCACATCACTTAGTTATATTAAACGGAGAGGCAAGGAAAAGATCTTATCTAATTGGAAACAAAGCTAGGAGGCTAATAGCAAGAAATAAGGTAAACATTATACACGCATTTATAGAGATCTTGTGCGTTTCTATTAGATGGTGGAGCTATCGGGGTGTTGATTCTTGTGGTAACCAGGGGTAGTGAGCTAGTCGCTTATACCACCACAATTACGGTATCGTCGTAACCTAGGGTTACTAAACTAACATAACACTACCTTTTAGTTCTTATGTTGGTGCTATTTTCGTTATTTTTTGAGACATAGATTTCATACTGTTCCGTCCGTTTTAGTACACACCTGCTAGATAGAACCTCTCTTTTGAGAATGGAGCGACATATTCCATGCACCTGCAGATCCAGTTTATCTCACAGCTACATAAAAGAGAAATCAATGAAGAAAAACAAGAAACATATTAAAAATGATAGCATACAGGGTAGAAACTAGATCGATATATAATGCAGGGAACTGAAGAGCAAAGGAGATAGTGGAGTTGGTTCAGTTTTTCTAATGCTTGGATTAGACTGTAAAGTTTGAACAACTGGGGAGCTTCAATCCTCAGACACTCTCACTAGACATATTATTGCCCTAGAATAGGGATTTATGTAGATAGAAGAGTAGCGCCA